GAGGAGGGGGAGGCTCCTGCGCGCTGCGGTGACGGGGTGACACTGCGGCCGCAGCTCGGCCGTTGTGTTCCCGCTCTGCCAGCTGAAGAGTCCTTAAAACAAGCGCCTCCCTCCCAGGGGGAACCTTCCCGGGGCTTTCGAGCCATCTGTTGCAGAATGAGACATTTTGCACTTTTTTTTTTTTCCTCCCTCTGTTATGCCGCAAAGAGAGCCTGAGTGCTGACAACAAGGAGCGAAGCCAAGCCCAAGGTGAGAGAGGAAGCGGCTGGCGATTATCCGCTCCGGGATAATTAAATTAAGAGGCTGAGACCCGCTGAGAACCCTTTCCACAAAGGCGAACGGGGGAGGCGTTTCCGCCGGCTCCGCAGCGGTGCCAGACGCTCACGGTGGCCCTTGCGGCCACCCGCGCTGGTGGCACCGGGTCAGGGATGCAGCATCCCCCTGCTCCCGGCTTAGCTTGCATATGGATCTCAGCTCCCAGCCATTTGGGACTGTAGATTCCCACTTGTGAGAACTGACCTGTAGCTGAGTGAACCCCCAGGGAGACCCAGTGACCCAGAGTGGTGTTTTTTTGCCTCTAAAAAAAGCACAAAATTGCTCATGCGGCGCCTGCAGCTCTGCGCAGCGCGGGCTCTGCAAGGGGCACCTCTTAACTCCACTCAGTTTTGAGCTGGACGGAGGGGTTGCAGGTAGGATTAATCCCATATGCCAGCAAGGGAGTTTGCATGGAATTGTCCAGCCTCCAAATACTGTTATTATGGATTAAATTGCTGCCACCTTGATCCGGTTGCTCCATCTTTCTGCCCTTGCTCGGCGCCTCAGGGTGGGATTAATCTCGTGTCGCTACAGATTTGATATGGTAAATTCACAGCAGCTTTGCACGAAGCTGCTAAGGAATGCTACTAATAGTGCAATAATAATAACACTGCTTGGGGCAGCACTGGAGGAAAGGGAATTTCCTCCCTCCATCCCTTCGGATGGCTCCTGCGAGGGATGGGGCAGGAAAGTGTCCATGCTCCTTATCAGCCCTGTCCCCCAGGGCTCACACAAGGCTCCCGTGTCCCTGCGTTGCCTAAAAGCCACTTTAACACAGAGGCCAACTTGCCAGGAGAATCCGGCATCCCGGAAAGCACCAAGATTCCCAGAGGAGACTCAGGTAAGGGCCGATCTCCGCAGACCTGCAACGCGCAGACACAAGGAGAAGAAAAACTCTTTCTACAGCTAAATACATAACAGCAGGCTGCAATTATTCATGTTTTGATCTTTTGCTCATACTGGTTTTCTGGAATTTCAAGCCTTAATGAGAAACGGTGACTTTTTCTTTTACTTAAGAGTTTCCTGCCTGCCAACCACTCTAATTGGAAAGGGAAACAAGATAAATTTATACTAGAGATAAGAGATGTAAGAGACAAGTTGTACATTAGCCTGTTACGGATGCAGCACTGCTCCTATTACACTCTACACTTAAATCAAAACCTTTTGCAAGGATTTGCTCTGGGTCAGATACAGGTGAAGGTTGCGGGAAATGATGTTGGCGCCAAGTTTTCTCGCGGGCGCTATCCTGGAGGAGCCCCCCAGTCCTCCCGTGCAGACGGAGTCAGGATTTACCCCCGTGCACGCGCTATCGCTGCAGCCACGGGCGCTCCCTTTCCATTCCCGCAGCCCGCAGGCTCCCACGCCGCGGCGATCCCGAGCAATCCGGAGCGATCCGGAGCGCCGCCAGGCACAACAGCAGCCAGGGCCGCTCCGGATCGATCTGTTCTTTGCTTTCCTTCAGGAGAGGCTAAACTACTGGTTGCTGCGGGCGCTGCCGGGAGCCCATTGCTCCAGCACCTCTGAGCGAGCGGATGCGAGGATGCGGGAATGTGGGGATGCAAGAATGGAGGGATACGGGGATGTGGAGGTAGGAGGATGCAGGGATGAGGGGAAGTGGGGATGCGGGGATGCGTGAAGCGGGGATGTGGGGATACAGGGATGTGGAGGAATGAGGATGGGGGGATGTGGGGATGCAGGGATGTGGAGGTATGAGGATATGGGGATGCGAGAAGCTGGGATGCAGAGATGCAGGAATACAGGGATGCGAAGATGTGGGGATGCGGGAAGACGAGGATGT